TTGATGAAGCCACCCAGTGTGATATGAGCTGGTGGCAGGATGCAGAGCAGGAGAGGTGCCCCGAGTCATCACCAGGAGTGGAAAGAATAGGAAGAGAGTCAAGACCTTTAGCTTGATCCTAAAGATGAAAACTTAAAGATGTTTTGTGTTGTTTTTTTTTAACAAAAAGATGTTGGTAATGTTGCTGTGTATAAGGTATATTGCGTCTCTTATACAAGCAATTTAAGGAAATGTATTATTCATTGCTATTTCATAGAGAACTATTTTCTGAGTTCCAGCTACGAAGACTAGCTAAATATTTCAATGCCATGTTTGATTTAGAACACTGACTTCTCTCTTGACTTGAACTAATAAAGCTATTATACAACAACCAAGTTAAGAAGATGTGACATTGTAAAGCCTTTGGAATTATAAGTTGTAAAACACTAAATAAATTGAATTGCATATGCGTGCGATTCTTAAGCATTTTCTTCCCTTCCCAAAATGGCCACATCATTGATAACACCAATAGAGTTGGGTCATTTGTGTATGCTTCTGTCATGTATCCTTCTGTTTTATAATCTCAGGGACCTTTCGATAAAGGTGAAAAGGATGGTGGAGTTGAGGACAGAATAAATAGATGTAGGATTCTCATAAACAGGATCTTCCCTGGGGATAGAGACTGTGCCTTGCTGATTTTTATAGAAAGACCAGGCACATCATTGGTCCCTGATAATAACACGGATGTGTCCAAGCGTGGGTTCTAGTACCATATGTCCTTTCAACCAGTGTACACTCGTGGAAACAAAGGAAGTTTTAGACAAATTCTTTATATGCAGAACCTTGGACCTAGATGTCAATTTGTGGAACCAGCCTTCTCCCCGTAAATAGTACAGGTTAAGTCTGACTAAGTGCCGAAAATGTTTATATGTAGTGAAGGCTCTCCCAGGGTTATTTAAAAGAACAGGGCAGATGTGGGAGAGCTTGGGGTTGCCTTCAAGAAAGCTCTCTGGGTGTTAGTATGGACAGTATGAGCATACATACGGATGGGGCCTCCAGTGTTGCCTCTCTTACCCTGGGACAAAAATGTCCTATATTTTTAACTCTGTACTAACCAAGGACCTCTCAAGATGGTGTAAATAGATTATACAAAGTCATAGCAATGCATTTTTTTTTAAAAGATGCAAAAAAGGCAACCAGACACAGTTTCCAAGGTTGGTCTGAATGAGAGTGTCTACGACGTTTTTCCCAACCCCTACGTCAAGATTTGGTTTAGAAACTCCAGGAAAACACCTCTGACCCCTATTTCCACTCGAGTGGCTGGATTATGTGACACACCTATGTGTTCCAGTATCACCTGCGTTTGTACTTTTGTAGCCCATTTCAGGACGTAACACATGAGACCTGTAATATTCTCTCCCTCCTCAGGGAGAACATACCCCCATGTATAAGACGCAGCCTTTTTCAAAAAATTTGGGGTCTAAAAACTGGGTCTAAAAACGTCTTATATAGTGGTTGTAGATTTTTTTTTACTTGCATTTCCCACTTTTTTCGCGCTTGTTTTTGCGCTCATACAACCACTGTATAAGACGCACCCAGTTTTTAGACCCCAAATGTTTCAAAAAAGGCTGCGTCTTATACATGGGGAAATACGGTGTCTCCTTAGAGCAAAAAGAGAACCGTAGTACCATGAACACTTTCCTGATTTGTAATACTTCCCAGAGTATTCCTTTTATCCTGGAGGCTAGATGAAAAGCCAAGGGTAACTTGGGAAAATGGAGTCCGCAATGAAAGGTGACTCCCGACAACACCCACCCTTTCTTTTTCCCACATGGCTGTTGCACCCCAATGGCAGGTTGAGGTCCAGACTCGGAGATGGAGATTTGTGTGCAGGAAATGTAATGGGGGGGGTCTTGGGGAATAACATCCCTGAGGGAGCGAAGGAAGCAAGATGAAGCAGAGAAGTGGGTTTAACACACTCACAGAGGCTTTAGCCAATCCGATGAGAACTCCTGAGTTGCGATGACCCTGCAGTTGTCCCACTTGGGGCCAGAAGCCACACCTTACATCCCCGGCAGACCCGTCACTGTGACGCAGGATACTCCTATAAAGGTGGCATGACCTTGGGTGGGGTGGCTCTCTTCAAGAAAGAACAATCACTGGGACGGTGAGGTCAGTTGGCAAGCTGTCAGCTGCCAAAGGTCCCAGCAGCTGGGAGAGGAAATGCTTCAGTCCTGGAGTCGGGTGGGGGTTAGCGGGCAGATACCAGTGGCATACACAGCATCCACTGCAACTTCCAAATCATGTTCCAGTTGCAGAATGTAACCTCACTTTCATAAATTCGCACTGAATGCCACCATGTGTGACGTGTTGTGTTAGGTGGCAATACAACACAAAACTAGATGGTCTCTGCCCTCAAGAAGATTCCAGACATGCAGTCACTAATTACCACAGATGTAGTGGCTTAAAATAACACCTGTCGACTCCTGGTTTCTGGTGTAGCAGGTAAGAATGGTAGCAGTCCTCACTCGTATGCTAACAAGTAAAAAGCTGAGCAAACTAAAAATGATCATCAAATCCATCAGAGAACTGAGGTCACAGGGCAAACCACTGACCCCAAAATTGGCGAGGCAGGCAGATACAGAGCATCACCGCTTACTGGAGCAGAAAGCTCTGTGGGAGCCAGTTTCCGGGTAGCACAGTAACAGGTGTACCACTGTGGTGTTGGCATGGGCTGGGCATGAAAGGATACAGGGGAAATAACTTGTACTTTCTGCTCGATTCTGTTGTGAACCTAAACTGCTGTAAAAAAATTAAGTTTATGAATTTTTTCAAAAAGTAAAACCCCACCCATTTGTATTAATCTCACAGGTCTGTAGGTCAGAAATCTAGGTAGACTAGACTGGGTTCTCTGCTTAGCACCTCAAAAAGTGCCAGATAAGGTGCGGGCAGGCCTAGGCTCTTACTTGAAGGCTCTGGAGAAGAATACATGTCCATGGTCATTGCAACGGCTGGCAGAATTGAGTTCCTTGTGAGTATAAGACCGAGGTGCCCATTTCCTTGCTGGCTGTTGGCTATGGATTGATTTCAGCTCTTAGAAGTTGCCACATTCTTTGCCATGTGGCCCCTTCATTTTAAAACAAAGCCCCAACACATCAAGTCTTTCTCAAGCCCAGAATCGGACTTCCTGTTTGCTACCCGCCAGAAAAACACCCTGTAGTTTAAAAATTCTCATGTGATAAGGCTCTGACCACCCAAATAATCACCCTTTGTAAAGGTCAACTGTGTCTTGTAACAGTCTAATCGTGGGAATAAAATCCATTCTAGTAACAGTCCTATGGGTTTAGGCAGGAAACCTTGGGGCAGTTTCACAGCTCTGCCTGTCCCAGCCGTGATGACAGGTTGCAGGAGACATTGGTAAAGGGAGGTCTGGGGGCTTTGTTTGCCTTCCTGAGTAGGAGTGGAGAGTCCGAAGACTGAGGGGAGGGACTTGGGGATGAAGAAACTGGATTGATCAGCTCAGCAGTCGGCAAATGGGACGAGGAGGAAGGGTTTGTTGGAGGTTCTGGGTGAGCTAGACAAAGATGGCAGGTGAAGGGAGATGACAGGCTGACGGGGTGGGCCACGGAATCTAGGCCACAGATGAGGAGAAACCTGGAGTGAAGGAGAAGGGACAGGAATTAACTTGCAGGGGCTGCAGTGGACGGTGAGATTCCAGTTAAAGCAGGAAGTGGAGGAAGACTTCAGTCGGAGGTTAAACATTTAAAGCACTGGCTCTCCAGGTTGGGTCCCCAATCCAACAGTATCCTTATAATTTTTCTGAATCGGTCATTCTGGAAATAATCATGGGACAGTGGCAATAAGATCTAAACAAGTTAAGTACATGATTTTTCATTGTTATTATAGGATATTCAACTCCTCCTCCCCCAAAAAATAATAAGGCCAGGGGTTTATGAACACAGGCCTTTTGTGTGCTACAAGGCCCAACATGCTTTTACACTGTTGAGTTCAATGAAAAATAAAAACCATGCCAACAAAATGTGTATAGTATGCTAGCATTTGTGTTATAGCTTTTATATGTGATCTATAAAGTATATCTGGGAGACTGCACAAGAAACGGGTGAGACTGGCAGCCACTGGGGAAGGGAACTGAGACGCTGGGGGAAGAGGAGGAACAGCTTTCACAAGTAGAGCTCACGCGCCTTGTAAATTGGGAACACGCATGTGTTATTCAGAAATGAAAAAATAAATCCATTTAAAAAATAAATAATAACTTTTTATTATCCTCCACAGCAGAGAAATGTCAAGCCTGAAGTCTACGGGGGTGAAGTAGCCTCCCTCTGGAGGGTGACAGCACCTGGAGGGGCGTCCTCACACTCCCCTAGTCCGGCAACCCTGACATGGCTAAGGAATCAGAAACCACAGTGATCAGCAGGGAGGAGGACGCTGAAAAGAGCTTTCCTGCCTGAAATCAGCCGCTAGCACCTGGGACCATACAACTCACTCTGGGGTCACGTGCTCACTGGGAGGTAGGTGAGAGTCACGTGTGCCACCGGGTGGCCGCCTCCTTGGTGTCGCTCTCCGCGTCCTCCCTGACCCCATGTCCCTCCGTGCTTTGGCCCGTGTTTGAGCTCTGAGACGAGAACGCTGCAAAGCCAAGTTCCTGTCAGTCCGAGTCTGAACTCGCGTTTGACTTGGAAGACTTATGCTTTCGCTTTTTCTTCTTTTTCTTTTCTTTCTTCCTTTTCTTATGCTTTTCTTTCTTCTTCTTTTTCTTGTGTTTCTCCTTACATTCTGAGGAACTGGAGCTGCTCCCATCGTCATCTGAGGTGGAATCCTCCAGTAATTGTTTTAACTGTTGTATCCTAAACATTAAAGATTGGTCAAAGAACCATAAACCACAACAACTTAGAAAAATCTGCTTTAGATACAAATATAAGACTCATAGTGAGGGTAAAAAAAGTCAGAAATAATCACCTCACTAAACACAGTACTTAACTTTATTTTTGCATGTTTTCCCTGTTCCTGTCCACATTCACGCCTATTTTACAGGCCTGTAACCAGTGTATAGGCCATTTTGCATTTTTTCATTGTCCTAAATATTTCTGCATGTTTCTACAGTCCTTACTGTTATAGCTTCTAACAGATACACACTTTCCTATATCATTCTCCCATGGCTCAAGATCATATTAGGTAATCTACCTCCTCAACAACTATAACTCAATACCAATTTGGGAAATAAAACAAACAAACAAACAAACAAGAACAAGTCCTTTTTTTTGCTGTCTTTATTCATGTCTAAGAGTAATTTTTAACAATATCTCAGATCCCTAAAGACACTGGAGACGATAAACTAAATCATATGAAAGAGAGTCAGTCATCGCAGAGCCAGGTACCACAATGTGAGTTGTCAGCATCAACCATCAGAGGGGTGAGGGGGCGGGGCCACGCCCACTGCGTGAAGCTGACCCAAGTGGGACAGGCTGACCTCAGTCCCACACACTGGCCTTGTCAGTGGTTACTCCTGCACTCCGAGATTTCACAAGTAAAGTACCACGTTTGTTAAACCACTCCTCTAGTACTGGAGTGGTTGTTTCCAACTTACCATAATTTAAAACTTTAAGAGGGTCTGTTATCATCAGGACAACCTTACCTTATATCCTTTTCATGTCTTTTATTCTCTCGTATGATGTCATACATGGGATCTTCATGTGCCTTGAGGGTAAGAGACGGTGAAGGTTAGGTTAGACTTCATGGACTATTAGTTAAATAAAAATTAAATCCCTATGTTACTAAAACTAGTCATTTTTTTTCCAATTTGGTATAGTTTTTTGTTCAGCATGTTCTAATTCTCCCTAAGAATCACCATCACTACAAACTCACTGAGGCTCTGAAAAGGATTTTCCAATTAGAAAAATATAGGATATAATTTAAATATCCTTTATAAGAAAATATACCATGGTAGAATCATGAAATACTATTCAAGGTTAGAAATAGTGAGGTAATTCTCTTTGTCCTATGTGAATAGATAACTAAGAGAGAGTATTAAAAAATGAATTATAAGATGATATATAAGAGTGAAACATTTATAGGCACACAAAAATATATGTTAAGTACCCCAAACAAAGTCTGGAAGTGTACAGGAAGTACAGATAATTTAAAATAACTTGAATTACTTAAAAATAAGAATACATTTATGGGAAATGTTATGATATGTGAATTATTTCAATTTTAAAAAAGAAATGTTTATTGTAGAAATTTTAGATGTTACCAAAAATTCAACTTAAAAAAATTTATTACCTCACTACCCAGGGATAATTACTATTAACATTTGGTCTCTCTGCTTCAATCATTATTCATAACTTATGAAAAATTATAATCATTTTATATATAAAGCTCTATTGCTTTTCACTTATGTTGTCAGAAACACTTTTCTATAACTTAATACATTCTTCTAAAATATAATTCCTAATGGCTAAATAATTTGTTACAGTAATTTATGTTGGATACATTGGACTACTGTTAACCTATTTTTCTTTAGTTTCCATTTTTTCAATTATAGAATTAGTTATGAAAGTTATCCTTGTACATACATAAACAGTTGTGTATATATTGATGTTCTCTTATATCCTTAAGGTAAATTCTTAGAAGTGGGATTTCTGAGTCAAAAAAAAAAGAATATGTTTAAGGTTTTCAGATTTATCACCAAGCTATGTTCTAGAGATTCTATAAAAATTGACATTCCACCTAGAAGTGGAATGATTGATCCAAAAAATTATTTCAGATTATTAAAAAATTAAAGCACAGTATTTTAAATGTCTAAAAAACTTTGGAGAGTGTCTGTTGACCTCGGTCTGATATATGCTGATAACTCAGTGCCTCCAGACGGTAGCTATTTCACTTAGCAGAAGCAGTTACTGAATGGTGAATTACTACCTCTGGGAGGTGACTCTTAAAATACAGTGAGCAAATGATAGCTACATTTTACTGTCATCTAAAGAGCATATATAATTTATATACACACTTCTAGCTTATAATTTAAAGACATCTAATATTAAATAAAGACTGGAAAACTAAAACCCTGATTTTAGTTATGAAACATGATTTCTAAGATAAGATTTAAAAAGTAATTGAATAAATAACAATGTCTGCTTCAGAAAAAGCAGCACTATTCCCAATGTATAAGCAAATAACACCTTAATAATGTTAGTTTTTTGTTAATGAACTAATCTACCACATAAATGTAATTTAACAAGTATGTAGTTAATACCCAATACTTTGGCCAAAATGCTTCTGGAAATGCATTTTATGTGAGCTTCCAGTTCACCGATTACTGCCTGATTCATTGATATTCACTATCTCTGATAAATGTAAATTAACGTGGTGGGGTTCTACTTACTACTCTGAACTGTTCTAACTTTTGGTTGCCTTTGATAAAAAAAGGGCATTCTTTGTCGCCTGTTCGGTGACCATACCGTTTACAACGCCAACCTAAAAACAAAGAAAAAAGGAAATATTTCTGTAAGATAACAGTTTCATTTAATGAAGATAAAGAATCAGTAGATTATATTAAAGTTTTTCTTCATTAAACTCCAATTCTACAAGCAAATACAATCAGTGAATGATCCATGTAAGATCCTAGAAAATTGGTAACACGTGAGAGATTGTTAGAAATATAGAGTATTTAATTAAAAAATAAAACCTTAAATTAAACATGAAAAAAAAAGGAAATACAGATTATTAGGCCCACCCCAGAAATACTGACACATACTTGAATTTCAAAGGGTTTATTGGTGATCTGTAGACATATTAAACTTTGAGAACCACTGTTCTAGATAACACCACAATCAATAAAATGAATGAAAGTATGTACAGTATACGTATTTTATCAAATCTGGGATAAATCCAAGTTTTGTGGGGTGTGAGCTTAAATTATATGGGTGGTAGGAGGCTCTTTAGGGAAAAAAAAATACCTTGCCTTGGCAAATTGTACAAAATCATACAACCATATGTTGCTGTAGTCCCTGCAGAACTTTGAAAAGCACAATCGAGAGGCCCTGATGCTGAAATTTCATTTACTTCTCAATAAAACTGGCTCTGGTTCCAATGCAAAGATTCTTATTTTCCAAGTCAATGCAAATAATTATAAAATGGTAAGTGAAATGCGACTAACTACCTCACCAAACAAAGTAGTGGTTTTTAAACTTAAAAAATAAAAGCTGTAGACATCTGGGTAGAGATGGCAGACTAAACACATTTATTTGCTTTCATTCCCTTATTGAGAGGCCATAAAAATGACAACGAAGAGGATTCTTTCCAAAAGGAATAAGCCTGGAAGCACCTCAGGAACGGTCAAGTGACAACCTCCATACATCTGTTCCTCCATAGAAGCATTGAAAGCAGTTGCAAATGTGCCGAAATCAATTTATTCAAAACCCTGGAAATTAGCCAAAGGCTTAACACAATCTGAGGAGCACTAATTCAAGAAAAACTAGTGAACCTTGGTTCAGAACAGCAGGATTTCTGGAATTTTAACTGGACCTACTCGCAGCCCTCTCTCATCACTTTCACAAGTGGTGCAAACCAGCAGCCTAGAAACCATAGCAGGTGTGAAAAGCAGCAGTCTTGCACCCACTGAAGGGGGAAGACTGGGTTTTTGAGCCCCTCAGAAAGACCTAACCCCAGTTGAAAATCCACATATATCTTCTGACTCCCCAAAAACGTAACTAATAATATAGTAATAGCTTACTGTTGACTGGAGGCTTTACCGATAACAGTTGATGAACACACATATTTCGTATGTTATATGTATTATATACTGTATTCTTACAATAAAGAAAATAAAATTATATTAAGAAAATCGTAAGAGAAAATACATTTACAGTGTTGAAAAGAATCCTTAAGTGGACCCGCACAGTTCAAACCTGTATTGGGGTTTTACTTACTACTCTGAACAGTTCTAATTTTTTAAAAATCGTGGTTAAAATACAGGCATACCTCAGAGATATTGTGGGTTCGGTTCCAGACCACCACAATAAAGCAAGTATGGCAACAATACGAATTGTAATCTTTTTGCTGGCGGAGGGTCTTGCCTTCAATTTATAAAAAACGTGACATCTGTGAAGTGCAATAAAATGAGGTATGCCTCTACACATAAAATTTACCATCACCACCATCCATCTCCATAACTCTTTTCATTTTGTGAAGCTGCAGCTGTATTCCCATTAAATAACTCCCCATTCCCCACCCCGCCCTAGTAAATAAACACCAATCACTGTTCTACTTTCTGTCTCTGATGCTGATGACCCTAAGCACCTCATAAAATTTTAGGATAGGAAAACACCATTGGAATATTTATAGTAATTGTGTTGAATCTGGAAATCTCTTTGGGTAGTACTGACATCTTAACATTAAGTCTTCCTATCCATGAACATGGGCTGTCATCTTTAATTAGTTTTAGCAATGTTTTGTAGTTTTCCTTGTGTAAGTCTTTCATCTCCTTGTTAATTCCTAAGTATTTTATTCTTCTTGATGCTACTGTAAGTGCAATCGTTTTTGTAAGTTCCTTTTCAGATTGTTCATTGTCGGTGTATAGAAATGCAACTGACTTTTGAGTGTTGACTTCTGTATCATGCTACTTTGCCAAATTCATTTATTAGCTCCAACAGTTTTATTTTTTTGTAGCATCTTTAGGGTTCTCTACATATAAGATCATATCAAGGAAACTGATTTTTAACCTAGCATTCTAGACCCTGGCAAGTTAAAATATCTGTAAAATAAAGATACTTCCAGTAAATTTAGGTGTTGAATATTTTATCTACTATAAACCCATTTTAAAGGAAGCTGTGTGAGAAAGCACTCTACCGTAGCAAGAGACTATAACGAAGACGATAGCTCAACACACAGGAAAGAGGAGACCCAACACAGGAAGAGGCAAAGGGAAACTGCAGGATGATGGTGTAACTTAGTCAGCTCAGGCGGCCATAACAAAGTGGACACTGGGTGGCTTAAACAACAGAAACTTATTTTCTCGCTGTGCTGGAGACGGAAAGCTAAGGTCTGGGTGCCAGCCTGGTTGCTTTCTAATGAGTGCTCTCTTCCTGGCTTGCTGACAGCTGTGTCTTCACACAGTGAAGAGAGAGAACAAGTTCTCTTGTTTCTCCTCTTTGAAAAGAAACTAATCACATCATGAGAGCCACCCTCATTACTTCATCTAATCCTAATTACTGCCCAAAGACCCCATCTTCCAATACCATCCGACTAGGGGTTAGGGTTTCAATATATGAATTGTGGGGTGGGAATATAAACATTTAATTCATAACACAGTGAAGGGCAACCCCTGGATGATAAGCATGGGAGCAACCATTTTCAGAAAGATGAAATTGAATACCTCAAATACTTGAAGATCTTAAGATTCAAGCCTGGGAAAAATTGGGGGTTGAATTAGAAATTAGTACATGGAAATCAAAAATAATAACAACAGAACAAGAAACACATACACACACACACACACACACACACACACAACACAAGACAACTGTTAATTCTGGGGGGAATGAGAGCATTATTCAGGACGCATGAAAGTAAAAGTAATCAGCTTACTATTAATATATGATGCAGCTCTGAATATAATCATAAGAAACACCAAAATTACCAAACGAAAATTATGATAAAACTATTCTTGGGAAGATAAGATATAGTAAGGGTCCATGTGTGATCAGAGAAGGAGAGCGCTAAATTCTTATCTTCCATTATACAATGTCAACAGATAAGGCCTAAGCCTGGAAAATCAAAATAATACAAGCATGATCTATAGACCTAAGGAGATAAATCAAAATAACCAACTAAAAGAGCTTCAAGTGGGAATGGAGAGACCAGAAGCTGCTACTTTAAGGATGTGCATGATGAATCTCTACAAACAAATGTCTTCAAAAGGCAGAGGACCCTTTCTTCAGGTGGTATCTTACGCTGAGGAAGGTCTTGCTGCGCTGGGTGTTGAGGGGTGGAGGATGGGGGCTGTGCGCCGCTCTGCCTGTTCCAGACTCACCTCTGTGGCCTGTAGCTCCTCTCAGGTGACATGGGTAAACTCCAGCACTGATGGAGCATGACTGACTAAAGTAAGACCCAAAGGGACCTGCCCTCCGATGCACCCCTTGTCCCCAGGGCATTTCCGTCAAGGAAGATCCTTTTTGTTACGGGAATACAGTAATACCTTGGTTTGCGAGCATAATTCGTTCTGGAAACAAACTACTCGTATTGCAAGACATCACTCGTTTACCACGTTAAAATGTCTTAGAAATGTTTGCTCGTCTTGCAGAACACTCGCAAACCACGTTACTCGCAATCCAAGGTTTTACTGTATTACTAAAGAGTGTGCACTCCAGAGGCAGCTGCGGTCCTGTGGAAAGACCACTGCACTCGGGTCAGAAGCCCTGGAGTCAAAGCTTTGCTCTGCCTCTTACCTCAGACCACGTACTGATAATGTGCAAGTGGCTTCCGTGTCTATAAGACGCCATGACATCACGCCATGACTTGAACAGCGCTGTGTGAGAACGAGTTAAATTAGAGTTAACCATGCTTTGTAAATCCCGGTATATGCCCTGCGTGTATCCAGGAGTGTTACTTGACGCCCTTCCACACTCACACTGCATAACTTTGACTTCTTTCCCCAGTGGCATCCAAAGTCCTCTGGTTGGCGCGTGAGCCAGAAATTCCCTGGCATGTTCATTGCCTGGCACATCCGGTATACAGTCTTCCGGCTTCGTCTCATCTTCCTACAAAAGGAAACAGCATGTAAACAACGCGGCCACAAAGCTCTGGAATCCTCTCCCACCTGCTGCAGGGCACAGCAGCATCGCCTGGCTTTCCCGTGGGCTGGAGTTCCCAGGGTCATCATTAGTTACTCTCTCAAGACCTGGAAAGACAAATGAGACCTGACGGAAAATGCGGAAATAAATGTACCAGGAGAACTGTCACAGACTCGAAGTAGTTGTTCTTCCAGAAAAGTTACGAGGGTTGGTCACAGAAATGATTTGTGAGCTCCAAAGTCTAAGATTTCAAAACATTTTCTGCTAATTTAAAAGGTTTGTGGAATGAGGCAAAGTACAGAATTAAACAAGCAAGGTTTTCCGAATAATAACATGTTAAATTCAAATGCAGGATTATACCTTGAAGGCCACTGTCATGTTTTATAATCTCACACACGCTGCATTTATGAAATGTTGGGTTTTATACCTTTTGATTTGTTTTCAAGTTTCCATGAATACTAAATTTATAATGAAAAGAATTTGTTTCAAATCTTTGTTTTAAACTGAAAGGTACCAAACAGAAAAGGAGGCTTTGGCCTTGAACGGCCCCTCTAAGTCTCACTCCCGCAGGGGGACACTGACGCTGGCCAGGGTGCTGAAGGCGGGGCTTGCACAGGGCAGGCGGGCTGGGGGAGCTTCAGGCCCCCAGTCTGCTCTCTCTGAGCTGATGACATTCGAGGAACCGGCACCAGGGGCGTGAGAGTCAGCCCAGGGCAGCAGAGCTTTGAGAAGATGCTGTCTCAAGTGAGAGAGAAGGGAGTGATCGTGGAGGAGCACACACACGTGGGCCTGCCGCGGTTTCTTAGGGAACAGTCACAGCTGATTAAGTTTCTACAAAGGCACAGGCTTGTGACAAAGCCCAAAGTGTATGAATGGCATCTGAGGGAAGAAACGGGTTATCATAACAGGAGGCTCAAAACCTCAAGCAGCTGTTTTCATACCAAGTTACCGAGTCTGAACACTGAGTTGAATGTGTCTAAGAGAATTCCCAAAAGGACAAACTTCACACTGACCTTGATAAGCCCAGGAGGAGGTTTTTCATAACTAGAAAGGAAAAAAAAAATTCATCAACCACATTCATAGGAACACAACACATTTTAATGAGCAAAAAGCAACTGCAGGCTAAAACATAATAAAAAGGGTATATTTAGTATAAACTTAAAACTATGTTATATCTAAAATAGTGAATAAAATAAGCCCAGCACTCAAGAAGCACAAATAAGCGGATGCTATACCACTTCCTGCTGAGATCTAGAACCTAAATTCACTGAAACAATAACTAACTTGGTGTCTTAGCAGGATGACTTAATTTTTGGAAGAAAGGAAAGCAGGAAAAATTTGAGGCAAGAAGACCCGTGAGTTAATTATGGTTCCAAACTGTTGTTAAACAGTGTCAGGTTGTTTACGCAGCATAACTTCCACTTAATATTGAAGAGGCTCATGGGGGTTGAGGGGAGGATTGAGTGATCAGGCCTAACAGGGCTGGGGGCAGGGGAGGAGGAGCAAAGCTGGAGGGAAGAGCCTGTGGTAGGGGAAGGGGTGAAGGTGACTGGTCCTAGAGGCTCCCCCTCCCATTTCTCTGCATGTCCCAATTCAAGACCCTCCAGCCCCGCTGCCCACAGAGTGAGCCCACCCTGCGAGCTGCCTTCTGCTCCTCTGCTCTCTGACCACCCTGCACGCCAGTACTGACCTCGCTGGACTCCGGGAGAACAGGACCCCTGCACAGTGTCGCAACGACAGGCAGCATTCAATGAAGAATGCAGCTAGATTAAGTATGTGAATGACTGTGTGGGAATGCACTTTCCCTTTACCAACAGAGCTCTCAGACCCCCAGGGTCCTGAGGATACAAGTCAGGCCTATGCTCCCAGCTCATTTGCACTTCCCATCACTCTGCCAGCACTGCCAGAGGCGGCTTTTGGGTTCCACAGCTGGAAAATCAGCACCAAACGCTCATGTTTCTTTTTAAGTATTTACACACTATTGGCTAATCAAACACAGCATAGGTGTCTGGCTTTAATTGTGAATGCCTAAGGGACCAAAGAGCACATATATTAAGAATGAAAACAAGATAGCAGACAATCAAACATCCCAGGTCTGTTCAGTGCGTCCACAGGGAGCATTTTACTGAGGACATGTGGGCACTGCAGCTGGCTTCCAGCTGTGTCTTGGCTCCAGAAACATGGACATATGGGAGTTTCCATTGCTGCTCTCACATGGTGCGAGCAGGGCTGACTGATGTTCCAAGTTTTAAAAAATGAACTGCTACCTTTATCACCAGAAAAACATTAATGATCGTTAAAAGAGTGAATTAGACTTGGATATGGCACAATCTCCGTAAGACCTTTTAGAAAAGGAGAAAGTAGGGGACAAAACAAAACTGTACTTCGTGTGCTGCTATTTGTGCGACGGGCAAGGAAGACTTCTCATATGTGGCCATATGCACACACACCTTACATGTACAGTACACGGACTGTCTCTGGAAGGAAACTGGTTACATGCTTGCCTCAAGGGAGAGGAACTAAAGATCATAAATGCGAGGGGCCTTAAGTTTTTACTCTTTTCACATTTATATGCATATGCACAGTTTACAAATCCAATAGCCTATCCTTTGGGCCACAGAAGTTGTACAAACAAAAACATATAGCCAATCAAATTGAAATCCAAATTCCTGAAAAATATGTAACGGTTATTGCCAGGATGGAAAGGAGTGTGATGGAACTACACATTTTGAAATCTATTATTAGCAATGGCATTGCCTTAAAAGTCTATTTTACAACTGTTTGCACAAATTTAAAGAAAGGTGGTTGGTGGCCTTTCCTAGGGCTAAACAATTCATTAATTTAACATTAGAAAAGATAATTTTCGAAGTTCAAAGTAACATCTAACTATTAAATATAACAGGTTTAGAAATGGGGGTATGTTTATGTGGTTTGGTTTCGCTCTGACAGTCAAAGAGTCTACATGTACCTGTGCAGTTAATTCTTAATATTTAACAAAGTTGGTGGAGGACCATTATTTTGTACTGAGAAGCCTTCTGTTAAATCATTGATTGTAGTAACTTGTTCTGTGCAATAAGACTACATTTATGTAAGAGGGGAGAAATATTATCTTCCCAATTGTATATGGGGCAAGAAATCCTTAATTTGGCAGAGAGCCACAGAGGGCCCTGAAGGGGCCCAGACTGTAGATGCCAGCAATGCCAGACCTGTATCCTGCAACCACCGCCCTGCTGAGGTGACATTCAGCTCACGGGCCACCATGAAAAGGGCAGGCCAGGCTCCAAAGCAATGCATTTTGTGTCAAAACTCCCAGAAGGTTATTTATGAAGGATTTGAACCCTTTGAAGACCTTTCCTTACATGATTGTCTTAGCACCTGAAAGAGAAACGATTTATTAAATAACTGAGTGAACATCAAATTTTAAAAAGTTCGCCTTCTAAAGCTAATTACAGAATGATTGAAAAGAAGTGGAAGGTCATTAATCCAACCTCCCACCTGGTGTTTAAGCCTCCTTTACACCCCACCCTTCTCCCAGTAGTTAGCTGGACTCCCCGTGAACCCTCTGGAGCTGGGGGAGCACAGTGCCTCCTAAGTCCAGCCATGCTCACCAGCGAGAGTAGTCTCTGGGCCTGATTTTTTGATGAGCTGGAATCGGCCTCTTTGTAGCGTCCACCCTTAAGTCAGGACTAGAGAGAGCAAGTCTACACTCTTCTACCTGACAGCCACCATTCCAGTAATAGGGACAAGGCCCTCACCCCACTGTTTATTCTCTTATTTACCACGCTGAAGTTACAGGACTGGGTTTTCTCTTCCCCTATTAACAGAAGATGGAAAGATTGCATCGAGTTCATGGTGGGCCCTGTGACCTGAAAACCGTGCAAGGTCAGGGACCAAAGTGCTCAGCTGCGCTTCTCGCAGTCCCCAAATCCCGACGGAACGCCTACTAAGTGCCGAATAATACTTAGCGCCCAGCAGAGTCCAAGCCAAACTCCGACACCTCCGCACCAGGACTACAAACCTTGGCTTCCCAGCTGGGAAAGCGCCCCCAAACCCCGCGTGCGCCCCGGGGAGCCTCGGGGGCGGAGCCTGCGCTCCCTCCGGCCTAGGCAGCTCCAGGGCGCCCGGAGCACCGACCTCCCCTCCCGCCGGGGGACGGCTGCAAGGCGAGTGCATCCGATCTGCAACCGGCAGCCGGTGCCACCAGCCCACTCGCGGCTCTCCGAGGACCCCGCCTAACGCGCCCACACGGCGCCCGTCCCTCGCAGGACATGGGGGGCCGGCGACTCACAAGGACTCCAGGTGCTTGAGCTGCTGCAGCTGCTGCGCGTCGTGCCGCCGCCGCCTCTGCTCCCGGCGCCGCTGCAGCTCCTCCTCCTCCACCGGCTCCCGCGTCCGCCTCGCGGCCCCGGCCCGCTCGTCGTCGCGCCCCCGCCGGGACGACATCGCGACCTGCGCGGCTCTGGCTGCCCCGCGGCGCGGCTCAGGAGGCGGTGGCCAAGACGGCACTTCCTCCGCGCCGCGCCCGCCCGGCCCCGCAGCGCCCCCTCGCGCTCCGCGGACTGCAGGCCGAGCCTGGTGTCCCCGCCGAGGCCCCGGTCCCCGCCTCTCGGTCGCCAGGCTGCGGGTGCCGTAGGTCCGAGCCCGCCACCTGGCGGCGACTGAGGGCTAAGGATGCCGGCGGTGGAAACCTGGGAGCCCTTCCCGTCGCCAGGGACCTCTCCGGATCGGGCGCCTACCCTCACGGTCTCCAGCCATGGAGGCCAGGGAACCTGGGCAGGTCATCTTTGTATCCCCCAGTGGCTGGACAGACAGGAGCTGCTCGTTACGTGTTATAGGATTCATGCAGTTTTGGAGAAAGGAAGTCTCTCCATAGGAATTCAGTGTTAGAGCATGCGATCCCAGGTTAAAACTGTGTATTGTATTGTATTTAGCAAGGCTTGGGTGCTGGAAATGAAAAGCTAATATACACTGAACGCTTTTTATGTGCTGGTCATTGAGCTAAGGCCTTATAAGAGTTGATTTAATCTTTAAAAAAATAAGTACTGTTACTAACTTTGTGTTATCCTCATTTTATAGATAAGGAGGAGACCCAGAGAGTTACATGAGGTGCCCAAGGATGCAGAACTAGTAAGTCGTGGAGCCAGGATGCAAAAATATTAGGTGCTTAACTAGGTTGTGTTTTGAAAGTGTATCTGATATGATGTTATAATAATTGTTTTAGCATTAACATAGTGGGATAAACTGCACGGGAAGTAAAAATAACAGCATGGGAAATATTTCTCTCAAATGTGGCACTCAATATAGTTAATACCTAAAATATCTGAGGAGCTCTTTCAAATTTATTACAGAAAATTCAAATAAACACAAAAGACTGTGAACAGACATAGAATGTTACACTGATATGTTCCAGAACTTGGAAATCAGGTTTCCCCTTGAAAGGGAAGAATTGGTATATAACCCAACCCAGTTGTTCATGCAAGTTACCTGGGCCAATAAGTGGTGTGTAAATAATACCTTGCAAGACATTCCCATCTAGTCAAGAAGAATACAGTCTCAGGAAGATGTTTGAGAAACAAAGAAAATGTAACTTAACTGTGTTACACAAGGAAGAAGGTCTACAGAATCTAGAAACAGAGAACCTAGGAGAAACAATCAGGCAAGTATTTGTTCAGCTAAAAACACAAATTCTAAACACACGAGTGTTCTGGTCACTGGAGAACTATGCACCATTTGGAATAAGGTGCAGAATTGACCAAACTTGGCCCCATCTTAAAGGAAATAGCCTTCAAGACTAGCCAAGCCCCTATGCCGATTCCATTCTCACCCAGCAACATTCTGATAGTGTACCATGGCAGATCCTAACATGAGGAGAAGGGTGTTTTGGTCAGATCTGAGGATTGGGTCAGTGCAAAGGTATGTCTCCTGTAAATCAACAACTTGACGTAATTTAAAAAATGTAATATGACTTTAGTTGTTGTGGCAAATTGTATTATGCAAGTTGGCTGCCATAATGTTTCTCATCTCACTTGTTTTCTACATATGACCTTGACAGTTCTCCCATGGAGAGGTGGGGTCTCTGCCCCTTCCCTTGAATTTAGACCAACCTTAGTGATTTGCTTGTAATCAGTAGAAAGCAGTGGAAGGGATGCCTCATCATTTTTGAGATTAGGTCAGAAAAGGTCATGTTGTTTCCACTTGATTCTTTGGAAATATTCCTTCCTGAAGGGAGGTAAACTGTTCAACTGTCCTGAAGTCACCATGCTGTGGAGGCCCAAACTAACTCATGGGGAGAGATCACATGAAGAGGCCCTGAGACTCAATGAAGAGAGGGATGTCAGGCCAGACCCCACTTCCTAAACGACCCCCACCCTGGTCAGATGACTTCACAGTGCTTGCCAGAGATAAATCTAAGTGGCTCACATCAACCAAGCTGGACCAAAGTAGTTCCTCCCTTCTGGGGAAGCTTTGTTTCTGGCCAAAATATGCCCCTAAAGTAAAAGAAAAGAAGGAAAAGGTAAAAAGAAAAGATACCAAACATTCTTCCACCACAACCAGTGACCTTATAACAAGCAAGCCAATAATCTGAAAACCTTAGGATATACTTCTGTACAGAAACCATCTGAGTTGGGTTTCTCACACTTGCAATCGAAAGAGTCTTGACTGGGGCTGGCCGAGTGGCACATTGGTTAAGAGTTGGCTTGGGAGTGCCAGCTCTGAGCAGCAGAGCCCCAGTTCAGATCTCACATGGGCCAGTGACGCTGCACCCTCTACAGCTAAGATGGTGGACAACAGCTCCACCTGGAGCTGGGCTGCTGTGAGTCGCAGGCCACAGCGTAGGCTGCAGCCCCTACTGCAATGTGCTGCTGTGAGCTACTGTGAGTGGCCTGCAACCAGCGTGAGCTTCCGTGCAATGGCTGGCGACTGATCTGCCTCACCCGGGAAGAGCGCATTGATCACAATACCAACATGGGCCAGTGAAGCGACGTCCTCCACAACTAGACTGAAGAACAAAAGGACAGCAACTTGTCTGTTCTCCTCCCCCGATTCCCCAACGCTGTTCCCTCCCCCCAATTCCCCAATAAAATCTTTAATAAAAAAAAAGAGTCTTGACTGATTCAAATATCTGCTTAACACCATGATTTGATCTCTCAGCAAGAAGACCCAGGGGGTGTTAATTCCATTTTAGCAAGTATTAGTCAAGACTTTTGAAAACAACAGACCAAAATCCAAATCAAAGGGTTTTCTGGTTTTTTTTCACTGGCCCATGTTGGTATTGTGATCATTGCGCTCTTCCCGGGAGAGGCAGATCGGTCGCCGGCCATTGGATGGCCATTCACAGCGGCTCACGGCAGCTCACGCTGGCTGCCCACGCTGGCTGCCGGTCATTCATGGTAGCTTACGGCAGCCCACTACAGCCCCACCGCAGCCTATGCCGTTGCCGGCGACTCACGGCAGCCCAGCTCCATGTCGAGCTGTTGTTCACCATCTTAGCTGTAGAGGGCACAGTGTCACTGACCCATGTGGGATCCAAACTGGTGGCCCTGCTGCTCAGAGCTCATGCTCCCAAGCCAACTATTAGCCAACTGAGCCACTCGGCCGGCCCCAAGTCAAAGGGTCTAAGAAAAAATAATAATAAAGGAATTTGTCTCACTTATGTGAAATGTCATGGGGTGGAACTTCAGGAATGGCTGGATCTAGGTACTGAAATGTTATAGTTAATAATTTCTCTTTCTGTCAGCTTCACTTTCCTTTGTATTGCTTCATTCTCATGTAGGTTATCTCATTGTGGAGGCAAAGATGGCCAACAGCTTAGCAGTTCAAGCTGGAAGAAAACCTTCTTTCTCTGTTCCAGTTATACTTCCCTGGATTGTACTCATTGGCTTAGCAAGGGTCATGTAGCTGTCATGGAAATAATCCCTGTGGTCAGGGAGATGCAGTACTCTGACTGGTCAAGCCTATGTCACGTGCCCACCCTAATTCCCAGGGGTGGGATCAGCTTTACCCAAGCCATATAGACTAACAGTGGTAATAGGATGAATATTATGAATGGGTTTTCTATTTCAATAGAATAAGCTCTAATAGGAACAATGAACATTTCTTTAGTGCTACATGAAGTTTCTTATTAGATCCTAGGATCTAATAATCTTATAATTATCATGTTTTATCTTTGTCTTAGAGAGGATACTAAAACTGTTCATTAACTTGCCAAAGGTCACTTAGGTAGTCCACATAATGTTAGCTGGATATTCCTTAATACATGGTTGCATTCACTTTGCTCATGTTTTATTTCATATTTTTGCATTTATATTTATAAATTACATCGGCCCACTTTCTTTCTCTTTCTCTTGCTATCTGTGCCACATTTTGGTATCAAGTTTGCTTCTGTGGACCCTGAGACAGAAGATACCTACTAAGAAAGGCTCCTGGTGGCTAACTGGGCTCAAATTTTAAAAAGCAGCCTAGCGGCAGTTTCTACACAGAGGCCTGTCATGCAAACTGTACTTCGGGGAGAAGCCCGCACTGAACTGCCTGCCTGCACTGTGTTCCTGCCATTTGAGACAGGTCCCAGGCGGAGCTGTGTAGCCAGAGAGGGCGCTCACCAAGGGCCACTTGGCCTGGGGACCACCTCACAGCAGCGCTGCTTCATAACTGAGCTGTAACTCTACCGAGCTGTTCCACAGCTGTGCGGTTCTCACAGTCCTGCTCTATCACAATTGAGCTGTTTGCACTGAAGAAAGTTTCCTGCTTCACCGTACCCCCAATAGGGAATTCCTGTTGGTATTACATTGGCGCCAACAACCATCGGTTGACACTTCCAAAATGAATTGAGAAACCCTTGGTGATTTGCTTTCATTACTGCAAAGTTTTAATACATAAGAACAGATTCTAAGCTAAGTGCATTTAACGACAATGAGTTTCTTTTGGCATCTGGGTCTCTATTGTGAAGTCCTACCTGGCTTACTCATGTGTGTGAAACCCCGTGGGTTGTTTGCTATTAAGTCGGCTCACAGTACCTCTTGATGGCTTGGGGAACATTCAGTTAGCAACTTAAAACTTTGGTCCCTACAACTGAAGGGAGTCTTGCAACATATGCCTCCTCCTTTCTCTAACTATTGAAAGAAATTGCTGGGGAAAAAACCAAAACATCCTTAAGAATGGTTTCAGTCTTATTCAATGGGGAATCCCTCCTTGTAACTGTAACTAAGTTTTAAAAAAATAATAAACCTCTTAACTTTCCCTCCCTCCCCAAATCAGCAACGGGTAATTGGATCTGCGGCCACGTAGGAGCCTGTAGGTCCTAAATCCGGAGTCTCCAGGGACCGGGAGAAACCAGTGTGTCTGTTTAGGCTGTAAACGCTGTTCTCTCCCAACTTTGGGCCGAAGCCCAGTCCCGAGGAGTTCAGGATTTCTCCCTCGGGGACGGGTCCTTGCTGCGGCTAGTAGCCGTCTTCGCAGGGCCAATCCACGGGATCCGAGAGCTGGGCGAGGCGGGGGTGGTGCAGGGCGCACCAAGCCCGCCCCCCACGCGGCCGCGGCTCCTCCCCTCGCTCCGATGTGGCCGGGGGGCGGGGGGAGAGGGGGGTTGGTAGCTGTATCCCGGGGAGGGCCGGGAGTCCTTTCCACGTTTGCAAACGCCGCTGCGCCCAGTCCGGACCCGCGTCGCCCGAGCTCCTCGCGCCTTCGCCGGCTCCGCGCCCGCCCCCCGCTCCTCTCCTCACCGCCCCCCGATGGTGTTCAGGGCCCGGGGCTGGCGGCCTCCGCCGCCGCCGCTGCTCCTGCTGTTGCTCTGGGTGACCGGGCAGGCGGCGCCTGTCGCGGGCCTGGGCCTGGGTTCCGACACGGAGCTGCAGATCGAGCGGCGCTTCGTGCCCGACGAGTGCCCGCGCACCGTGCGCAGCGGCGACTTCGTGCGCTACCACTACGTGGGGACATTCCCCAACGGCCAGAAGTTCGACTCCAGGTACCGCGCCCTCCGCGCCCGGCCGGCTTTCCCGCTTCCTTGTCTCCGGACAGGCCTTTCCCTCCCGACGGACCTCCCCCGGCTCCGCCCCGCCAACCCTGCGCTCCTCCCTGTCCCTCCTCCTTCCCCAAGGCTCCCGGACCCTAAACCCCTCAGCCCGGGGGGCGAGCCTGCCGGACCCTGGGCTCCCCGGGTCCTCCCACCCGGGGCTGGGATCCTGGGACAGACCTTGCGCAGCGGAGTCGGGACAAGTCACGCCCTTCTCCGCCCGGCGCATTTACAAACGCGAAATCTACGTAAGATGGCCACTCGACGGTGGGACCCCCCCCCCCCCCCCCCCCCGAGTCCGTGTTGATGTTCTCCTGCCACCTCGCCTTATTGTTCCTTCTGGCAGGCCCCTTATCTAGTCAGACGGTGCTCAGAAGCTGATGGTCGCAGCCTTGAACCATTATAGAGCTATGCACGTTTCTGGAGCTATTACAACGTGCCAGGGCAGTACTAAGTGCTGTCCATGTAATGCACTCATTTCATTTTCTGCGGTGGGTACTGTTGTTACTCTCGTTTTGCCAGTGGAGTAACTTGAGGCCGTTGAGGCTAGTGAGGTCAGATTGAAACCGGAGTCAGATTGAAACCCTGGCGAGCCAAGTCCAGAGTGTGTGCGTGGAACTATGGCTGTCCTCCCTTTCTGGCTTTACAGAAACCCCTCTTGGGCAGGATGTAATCCAGAGCAAGTTCTGCTTTGCCACGGGGCCCTGCGCCATGCCCACAGTACCTTCCCTCAGCTCTTCCCCAAGACCACAGCCCCTCTCCCCCACTTATATCGGGTTTAGCTTTAGGGTGAACAGGCCTCTTTGGCTCCAGGCCGCTCTCTCCCCCAAGGCTTTGTTACCAGCCCAAGTCTGTGGGGGGCACTTCTCTCAGTGATTCAGCAGACTAGGCAAAGAGAACTGTTTGTTCAGCATCTGCTTTGTGCCCTAGGCTTCCCGAGGCTCATTCCTGAAGTTATCTTTAAAAAAGATACTCTTAGCCTCTCTTGCCTTTTTTGAAATTACAGGTTGAGTAAATCTACAAAACCATATCATGTGGCACGTAGCAAGTGCTTAGAAACGGCCATTCCTACTATTGTTTCAATTGCTGCTTTTTAAAACAACTATATTGAGATATAATTCACACACCATACAATTCACCCATTTAAAGTGTATTGTAATGGTTTTTAGTATATTCACAGAGTTGTGCAACCATCACAACTATCTAATTCTAGAACATTTTCATCACTCCCCAAAAGAGATGCTGGACCCATTAGCAGTCACTTCCTCCCCTCCAGTCCCAGGTAACCACTAATCTCTCTTTAAGGAATCATGCAGTGGTCATGCTTTGTGTCTGGCCTCTCTCACTTAGCATACTGTTTTCAAGGTTTATCCATGTTGTAGCATTTATCAGTTCTTCATTTTTTTTTTGAAAATTTTATTGGGGAATTGGGGGAGGGGAACAGACAAGTTGCTGTCCTTTTTGTTCTTCAGTCTAGTTGTGGAGGACGTTGCTTCACTGGCCCAAGTTGGTATTATCATTGTGCTCTTCCTGGGTGAGGCAGATAGGTCGCCGGCCTCCGGACGGCTGCTCACGGAGGCTCTTGGCAGCTCACTCTGGCTGCTGGCTGCTCACGCTGGCTGCTGGCCACTCACAGTAGCTTATGGCAGCCCACTGCAGCAGAGGCTGCAGCCTACGCTGTTGCCGGCGACTCACGGCAGCCCAGCTCCAGGTCGAGCTGTTGTTCACCATCTTAGCTGTAGAGGGCGCAGTGTCACTGGCCCTCAAGGGGGGTCTGAACCAGGGCCCTGCTGCTCAGAGCTGCCGTCCCAAGCCAGCTCTTAACCAACATGCCACTCGTCCGGCCCTACTTCATTCTCTTTTATTGCTGTATAATATTTCATTGTATGGCTATACCACATTTTGTATATCTGTTTATCAGTTCATGGGCATTTTACACTTTTTGGCTATTATGAGTAATGGTGTGTCAACATTCATTTACAGGGTTTTGTGTAGATGTATGTTTTCATTTCTTTTGGATTGTATACCTAGGAGTGGAATTGCTGGGTCCTATGGTAACTATATTTAACTCTGAGTAACTGCCAAACTGTTTTCCAACATGGCTGCACCATTTTACATGCCCACCAGCAATGCATGAGGGTGAAACCAATTTCTCCACATTCTCCCCAGCACACATAATTGTCTAGTTTTATTATAGCTGTCCTAAAGGGTGTGGAGTGCTATCACTGTGGTTTTGATTTGCGTTTCCCTTATGTCTAATGATACTGAGCATCTTTTCATCTGTTTGTTGACCATTTGTATGTCTTCTTTCATTTCCTTCTTTAGTTAGAAAATAGGGAAGAATTTCCTGCTTGTGCTGATGGCAATTAATAATTCCCACTAGAGCAAATGGTCTAGGCATGGCAGCCACTCTGAGACTGTGAGGGACAGTGGAGAGAGTACGGAGCAACTGCCACCCATTCAACAAACTTGTGTGCAGTGTGTGCCCATGGAGAAGGTGTCCCCCTGCCTTCTTCTACCACTTGCAATTTAGGCAATTCCATATGTGATAAGTGTAGCACACACTCCTGTCTCCCACACAGAGCTCACATACAGTTTTTACCACATGCCTTCACATATATTAACTCATTTAATCTCCAATGTATTAATTTAACCTCACAAGACAGTAAGGGAGGTATCTCATTACAAAGGGAGAAACTGAGGCTCAAAAAGTAATTTGCCCAAGGCAGCCAGCTGGCTGCTAAGTGGTGGCGGGGGGCTTTGAAGTTAGGCCGTTTGGCGCCGGAGTGTATAGATTGCCATGCAGATGGTGAAAGAAAGGCAAGGAGCTGTGGAAGCACACAGAAGGCTTAGCGGTATGTTGTGTGGGTGTGCGTGTGTGTCGGGGGGGTCAGGATGGAGTCGCGGGGTTGCGGGGATAAGACCTGAGGAGGATTAAAATTTACAGGGAGATGCTGAAGGCATGGCTGGCAGAGGAAAGAGCGTATGCTGCGGCCTGGAGGTGGGACCGTGTGTTGGGGAACATTCAAGCTGTTCAGTATGGCCTGGGCTTGGCGTGGGAGTAGGGGAGTGACAAGGTGGGGGCGGGGGGGGGGAGGAGAGGTGAGAGGAGGCCAGAGAGGAACCTG